TCATAGAAACTCACAGCATGAATCTAAAATCTATATAGAAATTACAAGGGTGACCTTCAATACGTTGACGATTGTGGGGAAAAAAGAGCAAAGTTAAAGGACTCACTACCTAATTTGACAACAAAATAGAGTCCAGAGATAGCCCCACACATATTTAGTTAATTGATTCTCTACAAAGGCTCTGCAGTCAAGGGGAAAGGTGAATCTATTCAACCACAGTGTGCTGAAGCAGCTGGATACTCTCAAAGAAAAAAAAATTAACCTTGACCTACCTCAGACCATACACAAACATTAAGTTGAGATGGATCATAAACTTGAAGGTAAAATCTAACACTTTGAACTTTTTAGAAGAAAACGTAGGACCATGGAGTAGGCAAGAAAATGTTTAGCATGGAGGAGGAGCCAAGATGGCAGACAAGAAAAGCCACCAGTCAGAGTGTCTCTGCAAAAAAAGACAGATTTTAAAAGAAAGCAAAAAAAAATAAACTAGCAGAAAAACATAGATTGGGTGAGGGTCGGGAGGAAGAGTGCCTGAAACTACAGGAGACTCCATGGGAAGATGTTGCAGAGGAGAAATGTCCCCGAGAGGTCTGGAGACCAGCGACAAGGGTAGGTGGAGCAGATAACTTTCCTCTCCCTTGCATCTCGGACTGTTGGTCGGCTCCTGAGCAACTGGAGAGACCTGCCAACACCAGCCCGGAGACAGCTGCCGCCAGTGAGCAGTGGGCCTCTTGCGGACAGGGCACCAGGCTCCGAGCTCCCTCGGGACACCTCCCCGCGCGCAGACCTGAGCCTATCAGCAGACGCCATATTGCTCCATTCTCTCCTTCCCCCTCCTTACCCGTGGGTGCCCAGAGAGAAAGTTCAGCCATCACACGGAGGCATCTCCAAGGAACAGGACCTTTCCTTTTGGGGCCCTACAGCAGACTGAGGATACTCAGACTGCGAGCTCCCTACCTGCCAGCCCTCCCAGGTGCTGCTTGCCTGGTGACTCCAGGAGAGTGGGGAAAATCCCGAGGTACAGTGAAATTCATCCAGCTTGGGCGCCCTGTAGGTGATTCGAGACCAGCACCCCTGCCCCTGGCAGGGTCAGGCATTGATATCCAGGGCTCAGGAGACAGGCCTGCAGACCAGACCCCGTATACCCAGGTCGCCAGGTCACGATTGCACTGCCCCGGAGCACAGAAGGGAGATCTGTGAAAGAGCCTACTGAGGAGTGTGTGCCTTCAGACACAGATCAGTGTGTCTGAGCGGCAACCCTCCTCCCAAAAGAGGGCTGTGCACCCAGCTCAGGATGCGATCCTGGGTAGGGAACCTCCCGGCCCACGTCACAGCCAGGGGAGATCCATTAGCCTGAGGTCCTGCTTGCTGGCAGAGGCCTGGAAGAGGCCACGGAGAAGGGGAGGGTGGAGGGGAGCGAGACCTCCTACACAGTGCAGGTCTCGGACAGCCCCACGCCCCAAGCCCAGACTTTTCAGCTGAGTGGAGCCATTTCAGCCCCTCCTGACAGCTTTGCACATAAACAAAGAACAGAAGTTTGACGCTTGCTAACAGGATTTGTGGAGACTGAGGGCAGGCTTACCCAACCCAGCCCCACCCAGACTCACTCCTGGAACTGCCCTCACTGAGGTGGAGAATAAGGACAAACCTGGAAGTCCCAGGGCCCCACCCACCACCCAAGGCACATGAGGGCCTCTCCAGAGGAACAAGAGCTGGCTACAGGACCCAAAAACACACTGCAGCCCACTCCTCCCAGCAAGTGCCACCTACAGACAGGGAGGTCATCCTGCACACCCTTTTACTGCATCTACTGATTCATCATAAAGGGTGTGGTCAAATCTCACCCACAAACACTACTTACTGGCTGAGACACAAAACAGAGCGTGTAATTATACAAACAAAAATCTAAAGGCAAGAAGTAACAACTAATCCAGATGGGAACGAACCAGCGAAAGAACTCTGGAAGTATGAAGACTCAAACAGAAGCACACTCCCAAAGAGGAACAACAGCTCCCTAGCAACTGACATTAACCAAACTCAGAACACTAAAATGACAGAAGAATTTCAAACGTGGATTGTAAGAAAACTCAATGATATGCAAGAAAAAATGGATGACCAACACAAAGAAACAACGAAAAAAATCCAGGACTTGGGAGAAAAATTGACTAAAAAAATTGAAATATTAAAGAAAAATCAAATCGAGCTCCTATAAATGAAGGACTTATTCAGGGAACTACAAAACACAGTGGAAAGCCTCAAGAACAGGGTAGATCAAACAGAAGAAAGAATCTCAGAGATTGAAGACAACTATTTCCAATTAAACAAGTCAGTCACAGAGATTGAGGAGAAAATTGAGAGGAAAGAAATAAGCCTACAAGAAATGTGGGATTATGTGAAAAAACTGAACCTGAGGGTGATAGGGATCCAGAAGGTGAAGAAGAAAACACGCAAGGGCTGGATAAGCTACTTGAAGAATTAATAGAGGAGAATTTCCCAGGCCTTGCTAAAAATCTAGATATACAGATACAAGAAGCTCAACAGACCCCAGGGAGATTCAATGCAAATAGGAAGACACCACATCACGCAGTCATCAGATTGACCAAAATATCCACTAAAGAGGCCCTTCTATGAGCTATAAGGTGAAAGAAACAAGTAACATAGAAAGCAAAGCCCATCAGAATAACTCCAGACTTCTCAACCGAAACCCTACAAGCAAGAAGAGACTGGGGTCCCATTCTCACTCTTCTGAAACAGAATAATGCCCAGACTAGAATCTTGTACCCGGCAAAACTAAGTTCCATATATGAAGGAGAAATAAAGATATTCTCAGATAAGCAAAGACTTAGGGAATTCACCAAGACAAGACCAGCTCTCCAAGAAGTACTCAAAACAGAATTATGCAAGGATCAGCACAATAAACACTCA